TTTTTTTTTAAAGTCTTTTTACCTGCCATAGGAGACAGGAACCATAGGGCTGTCCTTGCATTGGAACACATGTTTGCACCAGTGCTGGATGGGGCCGTGTCCACGCTGCTTGGAGTGTTAATGCTCGCAGGATCAGAGTTTGATTTTATTGTCAGGTAAAGCATTTGTGTGTGTCTTGACTTCCTTTTTTAAATAAAAATAAGTATGCTTTTAATTTTTAGTCACTTCAGCATATCTGTCATCATAGGGCTGTCCTTGCATTGGAACACATGTTTGCACCAGTGCTGGATGGGGCCGTGTCCACGCTGCTTGGAGTGTTAATGCTCGCAGGATCAGAGTTTGATTTTATTGTCAGGTAAAGCATTTGTGTGTGTCTTGACTTCCTTTTTTAAATAAAAATAAGTATGCTTTTAATTTTTAGTCACTTCAGCATATCTGTCATTTTATTACTATGCATGGTGTGTCAAGCATGCTTACGTCATGGCCTGCTTCCCCTCTGTTTTATTAACTCCTTGTTACATGCTAGACGTGGTGGTGTTTCCATTGCTGGTATTCAATCTGTTCCAGGAAAATCTGACACCCAGCATGAAAGAAAACAAAAATGGCCCTCTTTAGCAAGGTTTGCGAATTCTGGGTTTGAGTCAGTTCAAAGCATCTAGTATTATCCAGCATTAGCTGGGTTTGACCTTTAACCCTTAGGTCCTCCAGACTTCTTGTATGCACAACAATTTGCGTGCAAAGGACACATGAACCTACAAACATGCTGCAACTGTGCTGCAAGTGACTCCGGGCCTTCTCCTTCTATCATTATGTGAGGTTTATAGCGATGTATAACAGGGAAAGGAAAAAAAGCCCTGTTTGGGAGCTGGGGAACCGTAAGTATGAACACAGAACTTCATATTAAAATTTTGTAAAGCAAAGCCTGAAGGCCCTTCTGTTTAGAACTACAGGCAGACTGTTTCTTGTGAATTTAATTAAGAATGTGAATTCGTCAAGTATGAGAGGAAAGCAAGTTTTTCGTTGAGGGGAATTTGAGAAGTGCAATGAAACAGATCCTATTCTATTCCAAACAACCTGTGGGGAGCTCTGCAAAATGGCTAATCTTAGAAGTAACACAGGTTCTTTGTGGTGAACTACAGCATGGGGAAAAAAAAATCCAAGCCCTAAAATGGAACTGAGGTACAACTGGGCCAAACAAAAATGCTCTGAAAGATGACTTAACTACTTCGGTAGACATAAGGTGGATAGATTACTAGACTTAGCTGACATCCATTTGACAAGAAGAACAACAAAATGTCAGAGGCAGGAACTGAAAGAATGGCTGCTAAATCTCATCAAGATTTTTTGTTTATGTATGTAAGAGATTTGAAGAAAGCAGGCAGTTTGCAGTTAGACCTCATGAAACCTACATGAGGATTATTACTATACAGATACTGCATGTCCTGAAGTAGAATTTGTATTTTTTTTCCCAAGTCAGTATTTTTTACCTTATTTTATTGGTGTTGAAGAAATAAGGTAGAATTACTCTTTTAGGACCTGATCTTGGTTGATCAGGTTGATAAGGGTTGGAACACTTTGACATATAGGTTACTTGTAGATTTAACCTAAATTTACAGGGGTACATTTGGTGTGCTACTTTCCTACTTAACAGACGAGATTTTGGCAAGCATATTTTTGTGTCATAGCAAATGGAAGATTATAGGAGCCCTTCACACCAAATTTGGATTGGATGTTCTCCTAGTTTATAAAATGAACCTTTCAACTTTTCAACTTACGTTATTTTACTTTTTTTGGCCATCAGTTTCTCATTTTCTAGCACAATCTGACTTTAGTATGCCATGTTTAAAAAATAAAATAAAATAAACTGTGGGAGCCTAAGCATTGTTATAGTGGGTGAAGAAGATCCCAAACTTCCGGAAAGCGATAGATTAGTCCAACAATGTGGAAGATTAAGTAAATTAACAGACATTGTATACACCAAGTGGTCAGAGCTATAATCCTCCTGTTTATCCTAGCGTTAGATGGATGAGATGCAAATGTTTTTAATGCCTGTTGTTGATCTCCGTCCCAGTATAAAGTTCTGGTGGTTTATGTTAGTAGAGTAGATCAGCTTGCTGATTTTTGCTAATGCAGATCAGAAATTCCCAAATGTTTACAATAGCCGGATATTTGTAGTTTTACAGGAGTCTGATATATTTGATCAGATGTGGAAACAGGGAGGCAGTAAAGTTTGTTGCCAGCTAGACAATGTAATCAGCAGACCCATTAGTAGCAAACTTGCCCTCCGTTCTTCTCCTTTGCCTTCTTCTCCAGGAATTTACCAAGACTGAGTGCTTGAAATCATTAGTTACAACGCAGCCTTAAGTTTAGTCTGAGCCCCAGCTGTGCCGAATACCAACTAGCAAGGCTTTCCTTTTACTGACAGGTTTACCTTGGTATTCATGAAGGATCCCAGACCTTAGCCCTCAGTGGTGGGAAAGGACAACCACTTGTGCACTTTCCTCTTCTTCCATAGTACTTCAGCCTTTATGTTTGAATTGGCTGACGCAAAACAAGAGTATTCAGAGATGCTAAATTGTTCAACAAAAGATTAGCCTGCAATGCAGCTCTGCCATTGTGGAGTGCTCTTACTCAGTACAATGCTGAAGCTTACTATAGAATGGGCAGCATTTTCTTTGCAGAAAGCGGGTTCCTGTGTTGTAAAAAGGTTGCAGTTCGAGCTATTTGGTAAAACTGGAACTCAGAGAATTCTAGGCGGAAAGTTGTGATTAATGAACAGCAAGGGAAACCCTTACCTGATACACTGGAGATTTAATTAGAGATTCTGCTGTAAGATGCAGAAGCATTTCACAGTGGATTAGCTGCTGGGAGAAGAGGGCTTCTCTTCCTTCTAGGCTAAATTGTTTAAATTCTACACCCTTCACTTCATTTGTTTGCTTCTGCTGGGTTTTCACTAATGGGGGCCCCTTTTCATTGTATTTGTGCTTTCAATCCATTCAGCTATTCACTGCACATTCCATATTTTTGTGTTTGTGTAACACATTCATAAATAACATTACATGCTTCCAGATTCTGGGAAATTAACAAATGTAATTTTTTTCTTTCCTTTATCAACTAACACTTTGGGTTGTGGAATGTAGCTTCTCTAATTCAAAAGGTAAAAACCCCTCTATCTATATATGGAAAGTGATATCATTATTTAGTACAATGTTAGTAATATTTTAGATTTAATTTAGTATATGTATTATTTTAACATATTTAGGAGCAATTTGTAATCCCTTATTTCTAACAATATTTGTGGCTATTCTCTCCCTCAAACCCCTTTAAACCCTACTTCAGGTATTTCTTTGCTGTTTTGGCAATCTTAACCATTCTGGGAGTTCTCAATGGATTGGTGCTGCTTCCTGTTCTTCTTTCATTCTTTGGACCATACCCTGAGGTCAGTAAAATTAATGGTCAACAGAAGAATTAATACTATCTCTGAACCCCTGCCCTCTCCGATCACCCGCCTTTTTTAGAAACGCTTTATTTTTTAAATTCTCTTCGATTTTTTATTTATTTATTTAGTTAGTTAGTTTTTCTGTTTCTTGCTCTAGGGTTTTTTTAATCTTTATTAAATGTGCTGTTTGTTATTTAGTTGATATTCTTCCACTTATATTTTTAATTTTTTTTAATATAAGTATTGTTTTAGAGGCTGCAATCAGCAAACTTGATGCAAGTGTAGGATTATTTATGCTTTTAAAAGCATAATATGATATGCAAACTAGTCTGTAAAATAAGGATTCTCCCCAATATTTTGCAAAAGACAGTTTGTTTTGTACAAATACCTTCTTCTCTCCTACCTCACTGCCTCTGTTGCTTTCCTCAAAATACTTAACTGAGCAGACCACCAGGAAGGCCTGTGTGGACCAACATACACCGGTGGTGGTCCACAGACCACACCTTCATAACCACAACTGGTCTGCCAGAAGGTCCCCCCTGTCCAGTCGCCCCTCCCTGCGGTATGCTCTTGGCTCAAGCAACATTTCTGATGGGTGGAAGGCTTCGCTTAGATGTTGATGACTTTACAGTATAAAGCCCAAGTCCAGCAAAAAAGGATTCATAGATACCAAATTTGTATTTGGTTGTTGATTATTCATTACCTACTCTATAGCTAACACAATTACTGGGTTACGTAGGGCTATCTTTACCACATATTAGTAGAATCAGTGTGCTATGCTTCACGTGTCTATATTGTGCATACGTTGCTATTATGTGTGTGTCCATCTCTTTGCAAATAGACACTGAACCATACTGTACGTACACATTTGAGGTGATTTTATGACATCACTGTTAATGTATGCTGAAGGAGGAGGGAAGTCCATGTATTATTTTTATATTTATAAGTGCAAGTGCATGCACACACCCACACACATGCATTTCCTGAGACAGTGATACCCAGAAGAATCTGTGTCATCCTGTTTACATACATATCCACAGATGGAGATCATGTCTTTTTCTTTCATTAATTTTTTTCATTTCAGTATAAATGTTCATCAGAAAACTGGTGCTAAGGTTCTCGTGGCATGGCAGGGTGTATTTGGCAGAAGAACATTTGTGTCAAGCACTAATGATTAAAAGGGTAATGCTAATTGTATGTTACTGAATGCATTGCCATTATCAGGTTTCTCCAGCCAACGGACGAAACAGATTGCCCACACCATCTCCTGAGCCGCCCCCCAGCATCGTGAGGTTTGCACTGCCACCCGGGCACACAAATAATGGGTCAGATTCCTCTGATTCGGAGTACAGCTCTCAAACCACAGTGTCCGGCATCAGTGAAGAGCTTCATCAGTATGAGGCCACCCAAGGACCTGGGGCACCCGTCCATCAAGTAATAGTGGAAGCCACCGAGAATCCTGTCTTTGCGAGATCCACTGTAAGTAGCTCTCATATTGACTGGCAGGAGGGCGAGAAGAGTGTTTGTGGTTTTTTTATTTAAATCTATTTATTTTTGTGGAAAGCTCTTTCATATTTCTGGCTGATTATGCTTTGTGACTTTGTGCCAAAACTTGTAAGCAGGGAGTGAAGGCTTTCCTCGTCCTCTCCTTTAGAATGAAGTTGAGGGTAAAACAATGGTGCGAAAGCAGAGGTCTTTGGCATGTGTAATTGCTGTTGCATCATATTGGCACAAGCCACAAGAGAGAGCTCTCAGTCTGTTTGATGACTGTTCTCAGAGAGAGACTGGGGAGAGATTAAAAGATCCAGACCTCTTCCACACAGCTCCTTGCGGATCACCATCTCACATACCTCTCTCTGACAGCACATTTTGGGGAGAAGGATTGATAGAGCCAGAAGAAAACAGTTTCGGGGTTGTACCAAATCTTGGGCCTGTTGCATCTTGCTACTGGGTTGGCATAACTGTGATTTCAAAGGAAAGTGAAAAAGCTCTGTCTCCTACCCCTGCTGATGCTGCATGCTGAGCTGCAATGCGGATCTGTTTTTGTTCAGCAGAGGCCTAGAAATAGGTACAAGCACAGCCACATTTGAAGTTGGTCACGGTTTATTGACTGATGTGGCTGCTGCGCTTCACGCTTTTTACAGAAATCAGAAAACAGATTCCTGCAGTCTATACAAACTACCCTACTAACATCCTGTGTATGTACCCTGCATGGAATAGAGCCTTTTCCAAATGCCTGCAATTCTGCTTGTTGAACGAGTTAAGATCAAGTGCTTGTCACCCATCCCTTTGAAAACATGGACCAGTATGTAGGAAGCTTACAATAATGTTTTCAGCTGTCAACCTGTGTTTTTCTGAAGGTATGCTTTCCAGGTTTTAGTAACTTCAGACAAAAACTATCTGGAAAAGTCAACAATTATCAGACTCCAGAATATTACTTTTGTAGAGTTAGAGCCAGGACAGCATTATTGTAATTGTTCTCAGCATAAAATATAAGCGAGCGTAGTATTTGTTTGCCTCACTTTGTCAGAGGCATAACCATGCGTCTCTCTTTCAGGTGGTTCAGCCAGAGACAAGGCATCAATCGAGTCCCAGATTACAATCGAATCCAGAGTCCGGCACGCAGCAGGCGTGGCGTCAGGGCAGACAACCCAAACGGGAAGCGAGGGAAGGGCTGCGACCACCTCCTTACCGCCCTCGCAGGGATGCTTTTGAAATTTCTACTGAAGGGCATTCAGGACCTAGCAATAGGGATCGCTCGGGCCACAGGGCTCGTTCTCATAACATGAGAAGCCCAGCGTTCGGCGCCGTGGGTGCCGCAGGACCAGCGTACTGCCAGCCTATCACTACTGTGACTGCCTCAGCTTCAGTGACTGTTGCTGTCCCCCCTGCGGTGCACAGCCACAGCTCTCGGGGAGGGAGCTTTCCGTCCTACGAGGGATACCATGAAGCTGACCATGGGCCTTTTGAGGACCCCCATGTGCCTTTTAACGTGCGGTGTGAAAGAAGAAATTCTAAAGTAGAAGTTATAGAACTGCAAGATGTTGAATGTGAGGAAAGGATACCTGGCAACAGCTCACAGTAAGGTAGGTCCATCTCCTGTAGCTGCAAGCTTTGCCTGTGCCAGGCAACGGTGTGATCGAAAGAAAGGGGAAAGTTAAAATTTCTCTGAGGTACCTTTCCTTCAGGTAGGTTTACTTATTGGTCCCTGATCACGTTAAAACTGCTGGCTGTGAATATAGTACATTTTGCACTAGAAATCAGGTTGGATAAGACAGTACTTTCCACCACTGAGAAGTTGCAGTGGGTTCAAACATGAACTACTTCCAAGAGCCTTGCAAAGTGGGTAAGTACATCATACAATCCCAGCTTACCAGATAAGGAGAATGAAGCAGAGATGTTGTGGAACATCTTCAAAGCTGTGCGACTGCATTTACTGTTGATAGGTCCTGTCTTCTGATCCCTGAATCAGGCATGTTCTAAAATATCATACAGAATGAAATTGCCTAGGAGAGTGTAAAATTGCCAGCTACTTGAAGAGTTGTCCTCTCTTGAATAAAACTCCATGAAGGAATTTGAAGTCTGAAGCAAGGACTGAATCCCTCTGGAAGATGGGCCGAGTGAGAGGCGGGAAGGCCTCAGCGTGCCTAGTGCACTGCTGCGCGGCGGGATGTCCCCTGGCGCTTTGGGGGGTGTTCAGAGACCCACCCACCAAACTCGCACGCGGGAGGAGTCCTTGGGCCAATCTCTCCCTTGCCAGGGGCAGCTGCAGTGGCTATTGCAGATTTGCATAGGGTAGAGCTGACCTGGCAGGGCATTTAGTGTGTTCCTGTGAAACAATAGATACACCCAAGAACTTCTGAGACTTGATACCTAAATCATTGTCTGTCTTTAGGCTGGCAAGAGAAGGTTACAGGAAACAGCGCTGTTTAGAACAGACAGGATATTTTAGCAGATGTTTGGGGAAGAATAAAGCTGTTCATTTTCTTGAAAATTTTCCATTAATTTTATAGGGAATACTTTGAAGGGAAGAAACCAAGTGAGTTTTTACCCTGAAAGCTTTTTGGAGCTTGTGCCTGCAAAACCATTTCTCACTATTTTAACTCTGTTTTTCTCTTTTGGGGGAAAGAGGAAGTGTAAAACAGTTACTTAGCTGTGGATCCCTGTTTTCTCTCTTTGGTTTTCAGAGCTTTTCAGTGACAGACACTAGTTTGACCAGAGCAAGCCATTTTATTTTGGTTGTAGAACTATTTTACGTGTACACATGCGTGTGCGTGCACACACACAGAGAGTTTTGTTGGAAATTTTTTGATGACTCATAATAAAATCGCCTTCTGATTTATAAAACGTCTCTCCAGACATCTCGAAGTGCAAATAGACATGAATGCCTTTAGCCTTGCAGTCTAGAAACATGGCAAATAATAGTATCCTCAGAATAAAGAAATGCTTGGGCTCAGCTTTTTCAAGCTGAACTGCATGGTAGTATGAGATTCTTAACTGTGCACGGTATTCGATGTAGCGTATTTCTCCTTGAGGCGTTCATTGGGTTTGACTGAATTGGTTGCAGGTATCTGAAGCTAGAAACTCAGAAATTAAAGCATCCTCATTTTTTTAATTGGCATCAGTATTTCTTCACCGGGAAATTCATGACTGAGAGGAAAGCAGAGCCCATGTTTCCTGACTGCTAACTGTAACCACAAGAATCATGAAACGAGTTTTGGATTAGCTTGATTTGTTTGTTTTTCTTGAACTTTAATGAATGTTTGTTTTTCTTCTCTCTTTATTTGTAAAGGGTAATAACTGAAGCAAAGAAGAGGCCAAAGATGGAAAACTGTATTTCCAGAACTGCTTGAAGAGAAGAACTGCGTGAAGTTGTAGAAAAGGACATGCTGCATCAGGACAACAGTTCACTGTTACTGTAACCTATTGTATTATTTTGTTAAATATTTCTTTAAGTATTTAAAAGATGTACACATATGTAATATACAAAAGAACAATGTAAAGTAGTATAATCTGGAGTCATTTGCCTCTGGGCAATAGAATGGGGACAATATTGTGTGCGCTTTGTACTTTTTGTACATTGATCTCTGTGCCACAACTAAGCTTAATCTAGTTCTAAATTTCAGCATAAGTTGCTGCTGCTTAAATATTGTATAATTTACTTGTATAATTCTATGCAAATATTGCTTATGTAATAGGATTTTTTTTTTAAAGGTACATGTCTGTTTAAAATATTTTAACTGCGTATCACAACCCTGTGGTAGTATGAAATGTTACTGTTAACTTTCAAACACGCTATGCGTGATAATTTTTAAAATAAGCAGATATGAAGAAAAGCAAGTTAATCTGGGAGGCTTAGATAGATTGAGCTATGTGCAGGTTTTGTTTTGCTGTGCGTATCCATGTGTGCATCTGGAAGTGTGCATGCTTTTGCATGTATGTTCCTGGTGTACTGTAGTTTCTCTTTTACTGTATGGTAACACTTGGTGGGCTTATAAACCCACTGATGCTGGTGTGAGTCTGGCTTTCCCTGTTAGCAGGCACTAGTGAAAACTCTGTTGGTGTTTACCAACATATACCACAGACTGCCATCATCAAAGGCCCAACTAAAATAGAAGAGAAGACAGGGAGTCAAGGTTTGGGATTGTGGTTCAGTTTCCCACACTCTTAATGACTTGGTTCACATGACTTTGGTCAAGTCAGTTAACTGCCCCATGCCTCAGTTTCTCATTCTGTAAGATGGGTATAATTACACTTACCTACCTCCCAGGAATGTTGAGAGGCTTAATTACTGTTCGTGTAGTGCTTTGATTTTTTTTTTTGCAGAAGGTGCCCGGTAAGTGCAAACACTATAACCATTATTTTTTCACTTCCAAAGGTGCTGGATATTGAGAGGTGCTGGTGGTTATAGAAACTCAATGAGCATATACCTTATTTTGATACAGATACTGTTAACTATGAGTGGCATTAGAAGCTGGATAATTCAGCTGTTTGATGGTGAGCCACAGCTCAGCTGTGTCCTTACAGCATTGAAAGCAGTATCTTTGGTCAGCTTATTTTCATGGCAGGAAGGAAGTTAATAGTAAGTGATAAAAATCAAATGGAAGGATAAAAAAAAAAAAAAAAATCTATTTTCACTTTTAAAATATAAATGGCTTTCTGATGGGTCCAGGACTATAATGACACATAAGGCCTGGGGTGTTCTTTTCTCTATTGTTTGTGTTTTCCCATGCTGCATTGGCACTTTTAATTAAAACAGCTAAACTGGGATCTTTTTGCGAAACTAATTTAGCTTTTTGTATTATTATTTTTAAACTAAAGGGGATTGCTGCAGGTGAAGGCTCTGAAAAAACACTACAATCTGTGTTCCGGTTGGAAACAAACCCTAAGAATGGAGTACCTTAATTTAAAAGTACTAGAACAAAAGTTTTCATTATCTCTGTCTTCCTCTTTCTTCTTCTTTTTTCTGCCCTTCTCCAAGCTGTTTTTTAGAGCAGGTAGATGTTCAATTGTGTATTCAGAGCCAAACACACACAACCAATATTCAGTTTCTATACACAGCAGTGGTGGGGCTTTTAAGTACAATGCCTGAACAGCAGCGGCCAATTCTTTGATGGGAAAGTGTTTTTCTCCAGTGGCTTCAGGGAGTCTATCTTTGCCCACAGACCTTGCCAGCATAACGAATGGGGATAATTAGAATGCACAAGTTTCCATGCCTTTTTTGCTCACTTGAAAACACTTTGATATGAGGCACTTGTTTACAGATCTCCAATGTGAACGCTCGAAGAGCAGGTGGCGAGAGCCTGGTGTCGTTCCCGTGATACATAAGCTACTGTTTCAATGCACACTAAGGGTTAATGTCACAAATGCCTACTGGTCCAGTTCACTGTCTGACGTGAAAACTCTTACTGACAAAAAGACGAGGGGCCCCAATTTAGCACTAGCAGCATAGTGACCTCAGATCATGCAACAAAACTGTATGATACTAATTGGAAGCCACCTTCAACTGCCAAGCGTGTGCGCTCCCGTGACAGAGGTCGGCAGGGCTCCCACTGACACCGCCGCCACAGCGGCCTGCCTCGCTCCCTCCTCTTCCTCGGGGGGGGAAGGGGGCCAGGGCGAGCCGCGGTGTCTCCCGCCTGCCCCTGCCCGAGTCCTCCTGCGTGCTTGTGTGTGGGTGAGCTGTCTGCTGCTTCGTGCACAATGTAGACCTTCTTCTCCGATAGTCACATTGGCAAGGGGAGAACTCAGTGGCTGGCAACATTTATTTTGTTTTGGTTTTGGTTTTTAACTTTTTTAATCATGGGTGATATTTATATTTTTGTATCATAAGAATGTTTTCTTACAGTATTTGTCATGCCAGTTTATAACAAACAAGATGCAGGGATTTTATTTCTATTGGAAACACTATTACAGCTATGTTTGTACTGTTTAATGGATTTTTATTTGTATAGAGTGCTTACTAATGTTAAATAGGAAAGAGTATATAACATTTACATTAAGGACTCGTTGTAGCTTTTAGCGTAAGGAGTTAAAAGGAAAAAAATATTCAAACTGGGTCTCATTGCCTGCCTGTTTTGGTAGGAGTGGGTTTGTGTCATTTCAGTTACAAAGATAAAATTATGCCATATAATTTATTTATATGAAAATTTATTTTTGTAGTGTACATAGTAGCCATCAAGTCTTTTGACAGAAGTATATTTTTAAAGAGTTTATATGTAATGATGATACCATTATGTTTTGGAACACTGCTGAGATACGATTACGGTGCACACTTTTCCTTGTAAACCCCCTGACAGAAAAGAAAGTGTTTAACAGTGTTAAGAGAGAAAGAGAGTGTGAATATTCATACAATTCCGAACTGTGTTTTAGTTACCATTTGTGATCTAGTGTGGTTCTCGTTTTAAACTTTGAATGGAAATTGTACAAACTCTCTCAATATTAATGTTCAAACACTGATAGAAATTCTAACATGAATAAAAAATATTATAACTTATTGGTTACGGATTTGCTTGTTTATAGAATGCTTCTTTAGGTACTACTGGTCAGCTGTCCAGGTACAACCATGCAATCATTCTGATTCAGAGCATGAATTTGGGATGTTTCGGTATTTGGGATGTTTGGGAGATTCAGATTTGCCCATTTTGGAGCAGGAGCCAATTCTAAAATCCTGGCTAAATTGTAACACGCTGCTGCTTGTCTGTTGGTTCTGTTGCCCTTGTTATGTCTCGGGGGATAGGTTTAGGACCAGATTATACCTTTCATTCTCACTCTGAACAAAGCATTTTGTGTAGACTTTGAGCCCTTGCGTAAGGCAGTTTATGCACAGGTTATTTCTGCTTAGAAGTGGGAGGAAATTGTCTTTTCCTATCTCTGTGGTTGCTCTCTAGATTGGATTAGAGAAATAGTCTGTTTTTCCCACTCTGTGGAACAAAAAATAAATGAACGTGGAGTTCAGAAAACTACAGCGCTCCATAAGAGGGGAGACTCTTGACAAAACCCTCCCAGGAAGGGTGCTAGCGACTGCAAGCCGAGGCGCGGGCCCCCGTGCCCCGCGCAAGCGCTGCTTGGGAAGGAGGAGAGGCTAGTGTGGGCAGCAGGGTGAAGGTAGTAAATAGCAACATCTGTCTGAAGTCACTTGCATCAGAAACCTCACTGTGGTTTGTCCTGTGCAAACACACTTTGCTGAGCATCAACCAAAGTGCCACAGAGCTGGCAATCCTTTACTTTAACCCCTAGGTGATTTTTTCATGAGTCTTCTAAATTTCTCATAAACAACAAAGCCCAAACTTGTCTTGGGATAATTTATAATTCAGCCTCTACTTTTCATGGTCAGAGGAAATAAAACTTTCTATTTTATGTTTTCTGGAAGTTTAACCAGAAAAGAGAAAAGTACAGTTAAAGGACTTGAACTGCAAAACTCCTACACGTGTTTTTTTGCTACTCAAAATACTCTCCTTCAGATCCTCAGGGCTAGCCAGACTGAGTCAGGTTGCAGATTTGGCCTTTGTGGGTTACAGCCCGTGAGAACAGCGGCCGCTGAAGTCTTGCATTAGCTCAACTCACTGACTTTGCCTTTTGTGTCCCAGCCATTCATGGGAGCAGCTCCATTCACAGGACTGGAAACCATATGAATAAATCAATACGTCCTGCCAGTCAGAACACAGGATTTTTCTTTAAAAATTCCATTTTGCATCAACGATAGCTATTCACCTTACATTACTTGTCATGTTTAGATTTCTTATAAATGGCTCTTCTTGCTGTCAGCCTTATTAACCCCAGGTAAGACCTTAATCAGATTTTTGTCAGAGATTGGCCATATTTATTCAGGCCTTAAGTAAACATGTGGCCAAATTTTTGTTGGCATAATACATGTTATTTAACAGCTTCAGGAATGCTGCATGCTGCTAAACTGCTGCAGCACTGATGTATGAACAGGTGTTTCATTTTTGTTAACTTTCACTCACAATGAGCATCTGAGACGCCGACTGTTTGTATCTGAGAACCACCGTTGCCAAATTGTAATTACTTTTAATGGCTGCTGCAAGTAATGAGAACAATTACTACTTCCCTACTCCATTTAATCATTCTTGTCCTTTTTGTTGCAGACATGTTGAACCTTACTGCTAGAACAGGATGCATGCCAGGAAACTGCACTACCCAGCCGGAGTGGCCTAAAAAAATACATGCCCAGTTTAACTTTACATGGTTAATTGCAGCTAATTAAACACAAAAATGAAGCAGTGCTGCTGCTTTGACAAAAAATGTTTAACATGTATCCTGGCATATTTGTACTGCAGAAACCATTCTGCCTCTGTGGATAGTACATAAGCAAAGGAAACCTCTCTCTCGGGTTTTTGGTTGTCTGCAGTGGCATCCAGGCCACTTGCCATCCTACAATAGCTTTTCTTAGGAACATTTCCACCTTCATTTTAACAGCTGTAACTGCACATGTTGCTAGTGTTTCTGCTGCCACGGCAGCTATACCTGCTTGCCACTGACGTAGGGTAAGGCTGCAATGGAGAAAATTGTGTCTCCTTTGGATTAGTGAACATCCTATAACTCAGCTTGTCCTAGGAAGTACCGAACGCAAGGCAGCATGCATTTAAATTTGTTTTGCTAATCAGAGCATCCTCCCAGGCTCTTCTCCAGGCTTAACTCGAGCTGCCAGTTAGGAGTTGCTGGATCTTTGAGTCAGCTAATTTGAATTAGGACCTCACATTCACAACGGTGGAAATAACACTTTTGCACAACAGAGCACAAAAACCTGCGGCTTTTCTGTTTGGTCTTTCCATCCCTTGAGCTCAAACCTTTGCCGTGGGGCTGACTGCAGGTCCCCAGCCACCTACAGACACCACAGCCTTGTGAAACCCGCTGGGGAGAGAGGCTGTAAGCCATGGCAGCTGGGAAGGGGGAGGGTTGGAACTCTGAGGTTGGAAACTGCTTCCCAGGCAAGGGAGGGCTCTGCTGCAGTTGAAGAGGAAGGGCTGGGAAGCAGGGGCCAGGCTTCATCACGGGTGAGTGAATTAGGTGGGTTTCCCCATCTGTTGAGGGGGAAAGACCACTTAAGTG